ACACTCTCTCTCTCTCTCTCTCTCTCTCTCTCTCTCTCTCTCTCTCTCTCTCCACTCACTCTCTGATAATAATTTAAAAATCTAATAATAATCATTAATCCAGTATTTTTTGTGATTGAAAATAGCAAATATTTCACAATTTAATTTTATATAGGATTTAATTATGTATTTATAAAACAGGAATTTTTGTTGGACTTGTATAAAAACAAACACGTGTTTGCTTTTGATTTTTGTATTTGAAATTGTTTGATAATTAATCAATTAAAAAGGAATACATTGTATGTGTGATCAATGTTGGAATTTTTTACATAGATTTATAATCCTATAAGTGAGTAAAACAGGTAGATTAAAACTCAAAATTATTATTACTATCAAAATTAATCTCAACTTATAATACCTGTACAGTAATAAGTATTTCATTTTTTAACACACAATTCAATTCAACATTTGTATAACTAGTAAAACGTGATTACATTAAAAACTAGTTTAAAAAATAACAAACAATTGTCGATAACAATGAACGCCCAAATCGGAGCCAACCGTACATCTGATATACCGGCGGCCGAGGCGTCGGCCACCGACGAGAACTCCAGTAGTCTATCAGAGTTTATACGTCAAGTGCTGGCCGTCCCGGACCTGTCGCGAGCCGTATTCACCGACACAACCGTCCAATTGGTCAACAAACACGTGATGGGACTGGAGGTCAGCGTACCGGCCAATGGACGTGGATATCGCAAAGTTGTGGCCAACGTTGAGCGGCTGATGAACCGCAGGGCCCGGGAGTATCAGTCGTCGGGTCAGCCAATCAGCGGTGGCACAGTTGACTCGACTACACTGGAGGACACACTCAGCGTCTATTACTTCGCCTATTTGGGCCGTAAGTACGGTCTGCCGCGACTCAAGTACCATAACGTGCCCTGTATTGAGGTCCGCGGCGCCCACTTGGATGGCGGCCACTGCCGTCCGGTGCCCGTAGAGCTGTGTCGGGTGGAGCACAGGCTACCGGTGCCCACACGTGTGCCCGCCATTAACTCTATGTGGAGACCGTTGCACTCGCTTCCCGGTACCGGTCACTACATTACCAATATCTACGTCCAACCCATACTCGGCCAATACCTACCAGTGCTATTCCCCTCTAGACCCGTTGACTACTCGGACACTCCGTTACTCCCATTCATGGCTACTGTGTTGTCGGTGGCGGACCCGACAGCCCTGTCCTTTACAATGGATGTGTTGCGTAAACTGAACACCCAGTGGGCGGGCCTTAAGATATATACCCTCTACCAGTGGAGTGGCCGACGTATGGCCCATATTATCGATGGCATCGCACGGATCCGGCCGTCGGACCGGCTGTCGACGGGACCGATGGATCGCCAGCCGTATGAGTCTGTGGCCCAGTATTTGTTCATTAAATACGGCATTTGTTTACGCTATGGTTGGGTACCGATGGTGAGAGTGGCTGAGAGACAGCCCGACCACAAACGCTACCTTCCCGTAGAGCTGTGTTATGTGTTGTAGTGTTTTGTCTGTCAATCACTATATGATTCAACACTAACTCCCGGTATTGTTTTGATAATATTTTATCATGATTTTTAAATATTTTATTATTTAGATAATTATGTTTTGTGTAACTTTATATTGTTTTGCTTAAAAATTTATTTTAATTTGTTTTAATTGAAAATTTTAATTAATAAGTATGCTATTTTATGCCCGAATCTTCTGAGATAATTTATGTACTAATATAAAATACCGGATATAACGTAATACAAACTAAATGATAATAAAAATATTAGGTATTCGCTTTTAAATTTCAAATAAATATAATCTACATACATTTCCAAATATGGTAAAAGTCATTGTAGTAATGGATCCGCAATTTATACCCAGTTTCCTATTACTGCTGAGCCTCTCGTAACACATCATTAACTTAAGCTTAAATCTCATGCGAAAAACGCCTCCATTTATACACCATTGAAGTCGTGATAACTTTTTGTGCATTTTATGCAAATGTCGTGAATATATTGCAAACATGTATTGCATACCAAATATTTCGCAATCGGAAAATATATGACAGATGACATAAAATACACTGATATAAATAGCTAGATTCTCAAATAGTACTTGGTGCAAACATATCAGGCTAAACGGGACCAGGGTCACAACTACTGACAGGTATATATGGTTTACAACTTTATTTATTTTACCATGTGTTAAGCATAGGTTGTTGTGTTCAAACATATAGTCAATAATTGTTTTGGTAAAATATCTATTATGCTGGTAATTGTTAATAGGTAAATTATGTATAAGTTGATTCACCATGGTAATTCTCAAAACACAATAGACTACAGGTATGGCCAATACAGTGCCGCCAATTAGGAAATTTACATACATTTCAATTACAGCTACGGCTGTCATCACTTGTATGGGAAATGCGATCACGTATTGTTTAAATGTATAACATGTAAATATAAATATCAGGTATAGTATAAAGTTAAGAGTCACTAAATCAATCAAGAAACATTAATGTTAAAAAATATCACCAATTAAATTTTTGTTTAACTTTATACTTACGCATGAATACGAAAATGCCATTCAAAGCAATATAATATAATTTTAATGTAGCATTTATTTTAGTAATAACCTGATGGTTTGTAGTTGAGGTCAGTATTGCGGGCACCGGGCAGTTGGTATGATATCGTAACAAATCCCATAGTTGTATGATGATGTAGTTACCCGAGGTGATTATGTAAAATTTAATGTGTATTATTAGTCCGAATATAAGCGCTAATATAACAAGTAATGTCTGATAGATCTCAATACCGGTCGTAAATATTGACACATAAACTAATAATAGTTTTGATTCGTAACTAAAATCAATGAACAAACTTAACATGTATTTTATAATTAATAGTATATAATTAATTGCTAGTAAATAATTAAACAATTTGACCATGGTGCTATCATTTCTACAATTTCGGTATTCAAATATTTTCAAAAAGTAATCAATCAATAGATTATTAGAGATAGCCATGGTAGTTTTAGGTATGGTAGTTTCTTGTAAATTTCAAAATTTTCATTCACTTTCGCTCACGGTGGCTTGAAAAATGTTCATGTTAAGTTAACGTTAATAACGGCGTGAACGTGACATGTTTACAAGCCCTAGATTTTCAGTTTTGCTTCTAAATCTAATCTATGCTTTTAATGCATATACAATTGTAGTGCATATGTAGTTGATATTAATTAAATCTTTACGACGAGATGTTACCGAATATTATCTATAATAACTTTTTCGTCATTATAAAGTAAATGAAATAAAATAAAGTCGTTTTAATTTTTAAGTACATGTAATATTAATGTTATTATTTCATGTCAATTTATTCATTACACAATAAATATAAAGGTAAATAATAGTACTAGATAATAGTTAGTAAATATCAAATATAATAAATCTATATATTTCTTAAGTTGACAATCGATTTCTCATTAAGAGATTATTGATTGGCTGTGTTTTAAATAAAAGATTTATAATAAGCTGTAAATAGTCTTAAAGTTAATTTTTAAATATAAATTTTATTTTAATATATTGCCCATAATTTATAATTTTTACACATAACCTTCATGTTATAAAACTTTAGTTATAAAACATGTTTTGATATTTTAATTTTAAGGTTGATAATTAAAACCTTTTAAATTAATGTACAATATCGT